TCTTCTCGAGCCTGACGACCGAGGCCTCAGGAGAGCCGGGCTCTCTGACTCCGTCCCGGGGCAGAAGCAGAGGCTGAGGCTGAGCCTGAGCTTGCGGGGCCTGTCCTTGGGGATCGTGACCGTGGCTCATGGGGACACCGCTCGGCCAGGATGTGGGGCCGCCGCAGGGTCCTGGGATCCCCTGGAGAGGCTCAAGCCCCCCGCGGTCCCACACTCCTGGGCCCGCTAACTGTTCTCCTAAGTAGAGCAGCCTTGTAGCCCCTGAGCCCCGGGCACAAGGACCAACAAGGGGCCAGCTTCCCTGCCGTCTTCACCCTAAGGAAGCCTGCCCTCGGGCCCAGGGCTGCGTGGGCGCTGTCCTCCTCTCCTGTCGCCCGGGCACTGTGGCTGGTGGAGCTCCTGCAGGTGCCTGCCTGGCAGACGGGCACAGTCTGGGCAGCAGCCTGGCCCCAGCCCCACCCTGCTGTCCGCTTGCCTCTGGCCTCACCCTCAGTCCTCATCCTCCGCCCGCTGGGCATGATGGTGCCTGCCCTCTGGAGCTCAGGCGTCTGGAGTGGCCCATCCTCCACCGGTGCTGGGTCCCAGAGCCATCCCCCAGTCCCGGCCCTCATTCAGCCCCACTCCCCAGGCTGTGGCCTCCCTGGGCTCATGGGGACCTTGCCAACATCCATGGCAAGCATTGGAGCTGGCTGAGGCCAGCCTGACCTCTGAGCAGCACAGCGTGCCCCTGCCAGATGCCTAAGTCCTGCTGGGGGTGCCCGTGGCCTGTGGAAGAGGCTGCTGTCGGTGGCGGGCCTTGTCCTCTGGGGACCTGTCCACAGCTGGGACGTGGAGCTGGATGATACACAGAGACACACACACACACACACACACACACTCGAGTTCCTGGCGGCCAGCATCCATCACTCCTCATGTTCGCTGACCCTGACTTAGCGGCTGCTCCCCCCTTGGCCCACTGTCTCTGTCAGGGTTCCAGCGGGGTCCCCGTCAGTGCCCTGGCCCTGTGCCCTGGAGTGGGGTGTGGCCACCCAGACCGGGGCCGTGCGGGTCCTCCAAGGGTCTCTAGACCATCGACATCATTGAAACGCCGAGGCTCCCTCTCTGTGGGTGGTTTGCCGTCCAGTCCTGGGGGTGCTGTGCACCTCGCTTCACCTAGGTCTGGCCCACCCTCCTGGGGGAGCAGGCACCAGGGAGGGTGCGGTGCAGGGGTGCCCTGGGGCGGGGGCGGGGGCTGGTCATGGTGTGGGAGTGGTCAGCTCCCCCATCCCCCCGCCTCAGAGCAGACAGGACCTGCAGGATGTGGGGGCCGCTCCCCACAGGGTGACCAGACACCCCCTCCCAGGCTTAGTAGGGAAGAAGGGCCCTGGCGGGCATCTGTGGCTGGACCCCTCCCCTGCTCTGGGCACCTGGTGGCGGGCAGGGCTCGGCCGTGGGGCCTGTCAGGGCTGGGTCCCCTCCCCTGCTGGCTCTGGGAGGGTGGCCCAGGCTGGATCCCCTGTACAGAGCCCAGGGGAGGCCCAGCTTGCCCCTGACTGTGTCCTGGCAGCTGCGGTGTGCTCTGGGGGAGTCTGCTCCTTGGGGCCAGGTCTCAGGTCTTTGCCCCCAGCAGATGGGCTCCTGGTGCCATCTAAATGTCCCCCTTTCCAGAAGCCCTCCAGAGGTGGCGCCCTTTCTTGCTCCCTCCTGCCCCTGCCTGGCCAAGGCTCTGGCCTGCCCTGGCCCGTGGCCTCCGTCCTCAGGGCTGTCCTCAGGGTCGTTCCCTCTGCAGTTTCCAGCTTCTCCCCTTGCCACCCCATGGGCCTCATGACTGCCCAGGTGCGATGTGGCATTCGGGGAGGGGTCAGGACTCCTGGTTATGTTAAGCATTCCTCTGTGGCCATTCTCCCTCTGGGGGCCCCCACCAGGCAGGCTTTGGAACGGGATGGCAGGGAGGACTGATAGCAGCGAGGACTGTCTCCTCTTGGCAGACTGGTCAGGCAGCAGGCAGGAGAATCTGGGTGAGTCCAGGTAGGGGAGTGGTGCCTGGTGGGCTGGCAGAGGTGAGAAGGGGCTTTCTGGGAGGACCTCGCTACCTGGCTCTCCCCAGTGGTAGGGGACTTCTCTGGGTGGGACTCGATTGTTTTCACTGAGTTCCTGCCTGCCCTGGGGAGGAGCTGGAGCTAGTCTCCAGGGCATGGTTATGCTGAGCCTAAGGCCAAAGGCCAGCCCCATGGGCAGTAACAGTGACACCCTCCTTTCCTTTAGTCCCTTGGGGAGGTTCATCCTCATAGGCTTGTTACCCACAGGCTTGTACCCACTCTTGGATAGCTGCTTCTTCAGTGCTGGGACTAGCCCAGTAGGGTGGTCAAGGTGGGGGTGGTCCAAGATTGCAGAATGCTGTCTGCTGCATCCCCTAGACCTGGGGGCGGGGGGAGGGCATGGCTGACGTCAAGGGTAGCATCAGGAGCTCCCCCTGCTTGCCATACCTCCCGGGCACTTCTCTTTGTGCTCCACCAGGGATGCTGCTCAGGCTGTCTGGCAGGGTCCCAAGCTACTAGCTCAGTTGCTTCATCCAGGGCTTTCCAGCTCCTCCATGTCTGCCAACCACCACCACCATCCCCCGACTTTGCTCTGGTGGTACCTAAGATGGCAGGAGACGCCCTGCACGCTGGGAAGCTGATGCCCCCTGCTGTGCTCCCAGTACCACTGCAGCCAATGGTCCAGGCAGGAGCCTGGGGGTTGGTCTCAGAGCCCTGGAAAGCCCTAGGTGGGGACTTGGAAGCCTGAGGTCTCTTGGGGGCTCACGGAGCCCTCAAAAGCTTTGCCTGGGGTGCCCAGAGTACTCGGAGGCATTCAGGCGCCCTTATGGGGCTCCAGGGCCTTGGAAGCAAGGCTAAGCTTGGTGGGAGTCTGGAGGGAGGTCCAGAATCCTCAAGAGAGCTCTCTGGGAGGTGAGTATCTCAGAGCTCTGGGGCAGCGCTTTTGAAGCAAGGCCCTCAGAAACCCTCCGTCTGGTGCATGGTGATCAATGGATATGGTCACCCATGGGAAATAAAAGGGGGAGACTATGTCACCTGGGAGGCGACTCCGTCTTCCTTCAGACACAACAGTGGTTGCCAAGCACATCTAGCCTCCCCCTCGGTCCTGCAGATGGAGGATCTGAAGCCTGGAGGGGACCATTCCGTCCAGAGGCCATGCCATCTCTCTCCCCTTCCTCCCTGCAATCCCTCCTCTCCACCAGGACCCCGTGGGGCTCTCACCGCACAGCCACCCCCAGGAGGAGCCCTAGAGATCACTTGCCGAAATGAGATGTTGCACCATGCCTCTGCAGAGTTCTGATGCCCTGATGATGGGACTCCTTGTTCTCCCCAGTTCACCGATTTGACCACCTGCCCCTATGGTCACAGATGAGCAGGCCACACCTCCTGCCCATGCCCACCGCCGACCACGGAGCATCCATGTCTCAGCTCTTGGTCTAAGATGGCACAGGACAGATGCCGGGGGCCCCGGGGTGTCCTGGCCACAGCGGACTGGGTGCCATGGGAATCGGGGGAGTGCCTAGCAGCAAACGAAGGAGGCTGAGGCTCTGGGAAGGGTGAGAATATGAGAAGCCACTTCTTTCTGATGTATTTGAAATGCACAAAAAAAAAGCCTGTTGGTTTTAAGAAAACACCCACCCCAGCCCACCTCACCCCACCCAAGTGCAGAGACTAGGATGCAGCAAGAAGAAATGTCCGGGAGCTTTGGTAAAAAGGTTCCAGTCCTGGCCCTGAGCAGAGCTTACCCAGCAGCCATAGACAGCGGAGAGCCCCAAAGGCTCAGGAGACCACGGTGCACGTGCAGGTGAGAGGGCAGGCCCTGCCAAGTCCTGCCACCTGTAGGAAGGAGCCCGTCAGAGCTGAGGTGCCAGGGTCCCGCCCAGTGGTGGCCCAGGGGGTGCCTCTGCTTCCCTTTGGAGTGCCTGCCTCTCCGGGCTTTACTGCCCCCTACAGGCAGTGCGGAGCCCAGACTCACAGTGTGGCATTTTACCCCAGGTTTCCTGAGCACTTAATGTGAAGTGACAGTCACCCAGTCGTGTCAGACTCTTAGCAACCCCTTGGACTGTAGCCCACCAGGCGCCTCTGTCCATGGGATTCTCCAGGCAAGAATACTGGAGGGGGTTGCCATTTCTTTCTCCAACTCGATGTTAAAATCACATGTAAACTGTGAAAACTGTGAAGTGCCAAGAGCAGAAAACCTTGTGGTACTATCCAGGTGAGGAGCTGATTTACTGAAAGGGGATGAAACATTCCAGAGGGCTGAGAGCCTTTCCCTGTCATTAGACAACCAGCTTTCCAGCAGAAACAGCCCATCAAGCAAATGCCTCATTTCCTTCCCATCACTCTGCTCTTGGACACCACGGTTGGTGTCTGCTGGTCCCAGTTGAAACACCCAGAANCCAGGCAAGAATACTGGAGTGGGTTGCCATTTCTTTCTCCAACTCGATGTTAAAATCACATGTAAACTGTGAAAACTGTGAAGTGCCCAGAGCAGAAAACCTTGTGGTAATACCCAGGTGAGGAGCTGATTTACTGAAAGGGGATGAAACATTCCAGAGGGCTGAGAGCCTTTCCCTGTCATTAGACAACCAGCTTTCCAGCAGAAACAGCCCATCAAGCAAATGCCTCATTTCCTTCCCATCACTCTGCTCTTGGACACCACGGTTGGTGTCTGCTGGTCCCAGTTGAAACACCCAGAACTGACACGGTACAAGCAGCCTCACCTGCATTTCCCAGTGGGCTCTCTGTGTGACATTATTTTTTATAAGTACTTACAAGAGCTTCTGGTAACATGTCAGGGAGCGGGCACCAAAAGCAGAACACAAACGAGTCTATGGGTAGCCTATGATCCCTATCTCAGGCTCAAAGGACGAAAGGATGAACTGACAAAGTCGGATGGCAATTCTGGAGACCCAAGGCCTGGAAACCTTTAGTAGGGGGGCAGCCCAACCCCTCCCCACGTTAAAGAGAAGAACCCACATGTTAAAAATAAATGGTCTTTTATTGTATCCACGAAAACAAACTCAGGGTGGCCTTTGGTTAATCCCCCCATGAGGTGACGACAAATAGGAGGCATGCGATGACCAAAACCGTGTTCTCCTCTCCAGGAGAAGGGTCTTGCCTTCCTAGGCCCAAAGGGTGACAGGCAAGCAGGGCCAGGAGGATCCAGAGGCAAGCCCACCCAGGCCCACCATGCTGCAGAGGGCCCAGGCCTGCTGCCTCCCTGGCAGGACAGGGAAGGGGTCAGCAAACATTGCCCCTGTCCTGGTAACCCCAAGCTAGAACACACAGAAAAGCCCCAACCCCCCTCCCCCAACAAACACTGATAAGGCAGTCAGCCAGGGCTTCCCAGAGGAGCTGGCCTCCAAGGTAAGAGGCCAGACCCTTAGGGCTCTGCCCAGAAGGGGTTGCCATCCTCGGCCTGCATGGAGTAGTAAACAAAGAGCAGGAAGGCAGCAAAGACCAGGAACTTTGACTCATCCAAACCCCATGAGGACCCCCTCAGGTTGTACCCAAGTACAGGGTGCCCGACAAGTCAGCTCACCTGGCGGTGAAAAGGGTCAGCATCTGAGAGTGAAGCTGAGGGCTGGCAGAAGCCCTTGGATGTGCCCATAGACTCAGGTTCCCCGTAAGTCCTGGTGGTCAAGTAACTCTCCTCATAGTAGTCATCATTATAGCCTTGGGAAGGGGGGGTAGTGGTAGCAGAAGAGGCAACGGTGTCCCTACCTGGCCCGATGGCCCTAATCTGAATCCCATTGGGGGGGCCTGTGACACGGTTTCTCCCCTCCAGGGCTACTGCAGGACGCTTGGGGTTGAGGTCTCAGGTTCTGGCTGACAGTGGAAGGAAGGTGTCAGGGTGCCCACCCCACCCCTGCCTTACCCTTGCTCTGGTAAAGTAAGGCATCCTCTTTCTTGGGCAGATCATACATATCCGAGTCCACGGACGCCGAATCTAAGTCTGAATGGGGGAGGGGCTAGGACCATGGCCCACAGGGGTCCCCTCCCGTTTCCCCCGCGCCCCTTCCGGCCAGTGCCCCGGCCACACCCCCGCGACCCCTTTCTCAGAGTCACCCAAACCGTGTCCCCAAGGGCGGCCAGGCAGAGCCCTGGGACGGAAGCCTCACCCGAGAACCGATAGGAGAAAGAGGACGCGGACGAACTCGGGGGCGAGAGCCTCCGCCTCTGGGTCTCATACTCGAAGATTTTCTTTTCGTAGAGCTTGCGAGTGGAACCTCATCAGACGCGTTTCACAGGGCTGTCGGGAGCGGGCCGGGAGCGGGCCGTGGGGCTAAGTGCGGGGAGGGGGCCCGTCCTCCGTCCACCGCGTACCAACGACGGGCCCGTGTGGGATGCTGTACTGCGCAGCACGGCGGCCAGCTCGGAGTCCGACAGGACTGTGTAGTCGTCCATGGCAGGCAGCGGACGACGGAGGCCTGGGGGAGGCCTGGGCCTAGCGACACCGCCCGAGAGACGACGGCCTCGGAGCGCGGCGGGGGCAACAGGAGCGCCTCGGGGGCAACAAGAGCGCCTCGGGAGCCGCTACGCGCGCGTCACGCCCGGGTCACAGTCGCGGTCTTGGCAGTCAGCGCGCGCTGCGCGGAGAGGGGCCGGGCCTCGCGAAGAGGCGCCAGCACAGATTGGTGGAGCCTTGGGAACGGACGGTGCGGGGCGGAGCTCGCGAGCCTAGACGTCACAAACGGGTGGGAGGGGCCGCAGCTCGGCGCAGATGGGCCGGGCCGTGGGGGTGGGCGGAGCTGTCGAGCCCAGAGACGTCACACGCTGGCGCATTTAGGGCCGGACGCCAGCGAGGGGCGGGGCCTGGGCGCGACGGGAACTAGCTTAGACCCGCCCAGACTTGGGAGCGTGGCGGGGCCCGCGAGCCGCGACGTCACCCGCTGGGCTATTCGGGTCAGAAGGGTGGAGGGGCGTGGCCTGTGGCCGTGCAACCCGCAGAAACTGGCCAGGATGTGGGAGCTGAGAGGGGCTGCGCGCTGGGCGGGGCTGCGCGCTGGGCGGGGCTCGCCCTCCCTGAGTCACGTAGACTCCTCTAGGTCCCACCTGACCCTCTGCACCGAGCTCCGGCGCTCGGGGGTGCCTAGCCGCGCCCCAGCCAGCCGGCTCGCCAGCAGCCGAGAGAAAGGGTCCTATCTGAAGGGGCGAGCCCTTGGAGAGCGTGGGTCTGGACTAGGCGCTGCTGCCCCCGCTGGGCGCGCGCTCGCCACGTGGGTGGGAGGGGCCGCAGCTCAAACGGCGCAGATGGGCCAGGCCGTGGGGGTGGGCGGAGCTGGCGAGCCCAGAGACGTCACACGCTGGCGCATTTAGGGCCGAACGCCAGCGAGGGGCGGGGCCTGGGCGCGACGGGAACTAGCTTAGACCCGCCCCGACTTGGGAGAGGGGCGGGGCCCGCGAGCCGCGACGTCACCCGTTCGGCTATTCGGGTCAGAAGGGTGGAGGGGCGTGGCCTGTGGCCGTGCAACCAGCAGAAACTGGCCAGGATGTGGGAGCTGGGCGGGGCTGCGCGCTGGGCGGGGCTGCGCGCTGGGCGGGGCTCGCCCTCCCTGAGTCACGTGGACTCCGCTAGGTCCCAACTGACCCCTCTGCACCGAGCTCCGGCGTTCAGGGGTCCCTGGCCGCGCCCCAGGCAGCCGAGAGAAAGGGTCGGATCTGAAGGGGCGAGCCCTTGGAGAGCGTGGGTCTGGACTAGGCGCTGCTGCCCGCGCTGGGCGCGCGTGCGCCCCGCCGGGGAAGCCCGTAGCCACCCGACCCTAAGCCACCCCCCAGACCCCCTGCCCCAGCACGCCTTCCCGTTCTGTGGGACCCTGGCCTGAGCCCGCAGGTCCCCACTGCCTCCTTCCCTCCCCGCTGCACCCCGGAGGAAATGGGGCACTGGGCCAGGAGGCCACCGGCGCTCCAGAAGCCAGCAGCCTTGGAAGGGGCCCGGGCATGCCAATGGGCACTGGCACGGGGCGCCCAGTGATGCGATGCATGCAGAGATGGCGGGTGCCTGCCTCACCCACCGGCAGCCCACTCGAGGCGCGAGGGGCTTCCCCTCCGTGACTGGGCTGGCCCCTGAGCCCAGCGTGACCCAGGAGACTGCTAGAGGGACCTGCCCGAGGCTTCCGATAATGTGCTCCGAGCACCTGGGTCTCAGTGGGCTTCAGGGTCATGGGAACGCAGAGGGGACCTCCTGGACAAAGGGCCAGGGGACTGAAGCAGGCAAACCATGGAAGGCAGCCGGGACCTGTCACAGGGAGTTGGTGAGAGCCTTGGTCAGGAAAGAGCTCTCCCATGAAAATTAGGAAGGAGATGACAGTCACGTTCTAACAAAGCCAGCCAATAGAATGAGGGGAAACTGAAGTGCCCCTCCCGGAACTGGGATGAAGGCTGGCAGACCGGCCCAGCTGGTGAGGGTCACAGCCTTGGTCTCAGCGAAGGTTCGTTCATGTGGTGGAGAGAAGATAGGGCCCTGGTTTAACCATGTACGAAGCCCCTCTGCTAGGTTGCTGTTGGCCAGGTTTTAGAGATGAGGATTTCTCCACCTCCCAAAATATGAGGGCCCCACGTATGCATGGTCAGATGAGGGGCAGCGCCCTGGGCAGGGCAAGGGTCTTGCTGCTTATCTCCAAGCAGGGAGGGAGATGGCATTTGGGATTGGGCTCCTCAGAGCCGATCCTGTGGAATTTGGAGTTTGGGCCAGATCAGATTCCCCAGCACCTCTCTAAGCCTTCTTTTGCAGTGCTGGCCCCTGTCCCGGAGGCCAGCCTCCCCTTGCCAACCCTCCCCCCCCATACAGACCCAAGCCGTTTCCTTATGAGGTCAAGGAATTCTAAGTTTGCCTTCTCCTCTGGGAGCAACCCCTCCCCGGCACCTGCCTTGGCCCTCTGCCTTGTATTTCCCTCTCCCCCAGTTGCCCCACTATGAGGTCCCACCACAGATGGCACCACACAGCTGACCTGTGATGGTCTCCTGCACACGAGACCACCTGGAGCCCCAAGCCAGTCCCACTGCAGGCAGACCTGTCTCAAACCACCAGAAACCAGGCAAGCCCTTGACCATCAGAGCTGAGAGGCCCTTGGCACCGATGCCGTCACATTGAGGAGGAATTAGGGGCCCAGAGAAGGAAGAGACTTGTGCAGGGGCACCCAGTGCAGCAATTCATTCATGGATGTTCCCCTAGCCAGTACCTAGCCCTCGGGGGTCATAACCTGGACAGCGTGGCCCATTGAGGGTTCCGAGTCAGCAGAGGAGCTGTTAGTGGAAATCTGGGGCCTTGAGGGGAGTCTTCCTGGGAAGAGTGGGCAGAGTTAAAAGGAGGCATTTCTCTGGAACTGTAGCTGGGGCAAAAAGGGCTTGGAAGCCACTGACTCCAAGTCAGTAACAAGAAGACAGTTTCTCCTTTAAGGACTGGGATTCTAAGCAATAGATTATGTAACTTGTGATCCTAGCAACATCAAAAATTGTAAGGAAAAGTAATATCAACATGAATACATTTCTCAACAGGTCCAAGGAGATGATTATTCACTGAGCGATTAATATTTTAAGATCAGAACCTGAATCCTTTGGTACAATACAAAGCTTACCTTTTCTCTTCAAGGATGTTAAAGATCCTCTGGGTTTGGCCTGGCAGTCGAATGCTTTAAAACATGGCTCAGATGGTAACAAAAGTTGTAAGATGGTGACTAGCGTGAAAATGACCATGTGGAAGGTTGTCACAATCAATATATAGCAGGGAATGGTTAGCCGACCAAAGCCTCTCAGATGACACCTTGTGTTCCGGTCCTAGGACACATCAGTCTGCCTTGGGACAGTCAGCATGGCAGCAGGAATGGAGCCACTTCTAGTGCTTTTGTGGAACCTTCAACACAAAGTGGTGGTTTAGTCGCTAAGTCATGTCCGACTCTTGCGACCCCATGGACTGTAGCCCGCCAGGCTCCTCTGTCCATGGGATTTTCCAGGCAAGAATAGTGGAGTGGGTTGCCATTTCCTTCTCTATCAACGCAAGGAGAAAAAGCCTTTGTTAAAATCTTTTAGTGGGGAAGAACTGGTGCTGTATAAACCTTCATTCCCCCCAGACCTGGAAAAGTAGAGACCCTGAGTTGCATGTCTCAGGGGTGTGGAGGGAGGGGAAAGAGAGAGTAAAGAGAGGATTAAAACGGAGGTGGGGGGTCCTGAGATCCAGCCATGAAGCTATTACTTCCTTTCTGCTACTCCAGCTATTGCCCCTCTGATTCACATTGCAATGCCTCTGGCAGGTGAGTGTCCCTCCTTGAAAGATAGCCTTGGTCATGAGCTACCTCGTGGACCTAAACTCAGGCTGCTCATCTATCGAGGGAGGATAACCCACTGCCATGAGGGGTGAAGGAGTGGATCCCATTAGATGGGGCAGGGAGAAACAGAGACCTAGGCCACTGCTAGGTGATCTCACCTGGGGTCAAGGTGGAGAGATCATTGCCAACAAAGGCAGCAGTGGCTGCAGAGAGGCCTGAGGGCAATCAGTGCCTTCCTGTGAGTGTGCAGCGGTAGATACAAACCATGTCAGCAGTGAGAGCACACTTCTCCATTCCTCCCCCTGTTCCTACCTGCTTCTCCCATTTTGCCTCCCTCCCTCCCTTCTTTGTGTTTTCTCCTTTAACGCAGTAAAATAAAAGAAAGATCAGAGTGCTTTTCAGGTGGTAAGGGACAGTCTCACTTGGGGGAACGTTTATTTCAGCCATTTGTGTCGATCTGTCTGTGTGCCTGCGGGTATTGGCTCAGGATGTAAGATGCAGTTCTTCGTGAGGGTTGTGGGCACAGTGAGAAGACACTGCTTTGTGTGGCTTTCCCCGAGGAAGTGACATTTTAGCTGAATACGAAGCTGTTAATACCAGGAAATGGGCATGCAGAAGAGGAAGAGGGAGCTTGGCAGTGCCAGGGTGTGGCTGTGCCCACCCAGTTCCCAGACACTTGGCTCCTCGGCTGCACCCCACCACCCATGCCCAGGCCTCAGGACTGCAGCTAACCGTGCTGCTGAGAATTCAGTCCGTTTCTGTTGCTTGCTTCCAGGCCAGGCTTGGCACTGGGCAGGGGCCAAACCAGTGCCAGCCTCAGACGTTGGTTGGCTCGTCTTGGGGTTCGGTCCCTGCCCCTGTGCAGATTTTCAGGTGGGAGGCGCTCAGTGCATACCTGCTAGGGCCTGTTGGACTTCCCCCTCTAAGGTAGAATCCAACTTGCCCGACCAGCCCCAGGCTTGGAGTAAAGGGGTGGGGGGGGCGCAAGACTGGACGGCTCCCTGGAGGAGGTGGCCTTCGCTGCTGGGCTGAGACGTGGGCTCTGCAGACCCTCCGGGCCACCCCTCCCCGTCAGCAGAGGGTGAGCTCATCTCATCGGGGGTGGGGGGGCGTCGCATCAAATTGCCAATATCCGCTGGATCATCGAAAAAGCAAGAGAGTTCCAGAAAAACATCTATTTCTGCTTTAATGACTATGCCAAAGCCTACTGTGTGGATCACAATAAACTGTGG